ACTAGATATCTTAATCTTAACGTTAAAATTAATAATTATTTATTAAATTTCCCAAAACAAAAATAATTTTGGAGTTTAGAAACAACTTAATTCAATACTTTTGGTCAAAATCAAAAAAGAAAATTTAATTTAATGCACTGTTTACATTTTTATTAATTTTTAATGAAAATTTTATATGTATAAAAATTAATTATATGACAATCTAGTTACACATATTTTGAGTTATAAAAATTATATAATTACTTTAAAGTTATATAATCTTTTAATAAAATATAAAATTTTTTATTTTTGTTTTTAAGAGGAAAAATTATAGGATTTTAACATCCCAAGATTAAAAAATTTAATGGATCATTATAAGCATCCGATTGAAACAAAATAAATTACAATGACTTAATTTAAAATTGAGGAAAACTAAAAAGACCTCTAGGTATATTTTTCATGATTATTTTAATTAAATTCACACTCACTCCATTAATATTTCTTTCCTTTAATTTTAAATTGGAACATTAGTCATTAGAAAATATATTTTTGACCTCAAATGGTATACCTGAACTTGCATCTCCAATTGATCATTGAGGAGCTATATCACTGAATTGAAGTAGAAAGATTCTTTTGGACAAATCTTAACTTGATCAAAACTTCAAACTTGTGTAGTAATTTTATAATTTGGTTCTACATGCGCCATATAAACTATAGGTAGGATCCTAATCTTTCTTTTAAGAAATGTTAATCAGATATGAGGCTTATGTAAGGGCACTTGACTTTGAGTTTTGTTGTTGGGAAGAATTGACATCAAAGCTATCACATTTCATTATTTGAATCCTAATCAGAAAGCCTTTATTCATTAGATGGACATGAATCTTTCTAAAAATAGGTGGCCCTATAGAATGCAACGAAGACAATTTCTCATAATCCAATCATTTGCAATAAATATAAAAAAAAATCAAGGGCGATCAATGGTTGCATAATGTAGGATCATGTCTTCCATATCAAGCATTTATGAATGATCAATTGTATAGATAACAATGGATAATGTTGTCTAGATAGATCTCTAAGGACCTAGGTTAACTCTACTAAGACATTGTGATGTTGCTTTAACTTTTAAGACATGACTATCATTGTGATTCTGTTGTTCATGTGACCTAATACAGTAATACTATTAAATTTATGAGCGAAATACACCGAGCTCTCCTTTATTTAATATAGGATTAATAAGTATTTTAGACTTTGAAGTATTACATGAAAAGCACCATAGACTCTGAACTCCCAAAATGTGTAAAATGGATTCTAAATTTTAAATTCATAACAAATTATCCCTCATCGTTAACTCTTTCATAACATCATTACTGTTCACCATGGGGCCAATCAAATGCTGACGTGATAGTCCTTTGTTGATATGTCATTTGATAATGAGCATCACAGACCCTAAACTATTGTGTAAGTAGTTTCCTTGACCCTAAACTTTGAAATTCTAAATAAATTAGCCCCACTGTTTATGTATAGAACATTGATTATTGTGTAGATCAAATTAGCGGTAAATGCATCATTAGCCACGGCGAACTATCTATAATTTTGTGAAATGATTTTTTTCCCTTTTATGCATTTTTTTTCAAATGATTAGTATCTCGTGCTTCGTATACTTTATAACTCTAATTTAGTCTTATTTTAAATAATATTTATTTATTTAATGGTAAAAACTTGGGATCCCATTTGAAAAGAAGTTTAAATGAGAGGATTTTAATTAAACAGTTAATTTTAGTTTTATATTTGTTGATGAAATCGTTGGCTTTCACATTCATCGTCTGTAAAATCCTCTTATATTTAAACTTCTTTTCTAATGAGATTCCACGTTTTCACTATTAAATAAATAAATATTATACAAAATAAGATTAAATTAGAATTATAGAATATATGAAAGCATGTGATACCAATCACTTGTAAAACATTGCAAAAAAGGGGCAAAAATGACATTTCACAAAAGTATGGGTCGTTTGCTGCGACCAATGATGCATTTATCACAGTAGACCACATTGAGGCTACTTTAGTCTAAATAATAATCAATATTTTATGCATAAACGGTGGGAGTAATTTGCTTGAAATTTCAAAGTTCAAGATCTAGGATGCTACTCGCACAATAGTTTAGATTCTGTGGTACTCATTAATGAATAACACATCAATAAGATACTGCCACATCAGTATTTTGACTAGGCCATATGGTAAATAGTAACGGCGTTAAAAAATAGAGTCGGGAATAAGGGTCGGGCCTGGAGGGTCGGGCTTGGAGGCCCTGTTTAAATAAGGGTTCGGGTTTTGAAAATAATTTTTTTTAAAGTAATCGGGCTTAAGGGCTTGGCCCTGATAAGTCCTATAAAAAAGGGCTCGGGCTTAGGTAGCCCTTCAAGCCCTGTTATATTATTATTATTATTATTATTATTATTATTATTATTATTATTTTTGGTGGAACATATGTTTGAAGCCAATGACCTGCTCACCTGATCCTACATACATTATCTTATTATTAATTTTAATTTATTTGAAAATTAATTTAATATAATTTAATAAATATCAGTATATAGTATAAAATTCCTGATATTTTTTATTTTTCTATAATTATTATGTTTGTGTATTTATAAAAAATAAATTATTTTTTAACCAAGATTTAAATTTTATTACTAGACTTCTAAATGTGTGTTGTTTAATTTTTAAAAAATTATGAGAATTTTATTTTTTTAATTTCAAAATATTTTAATTAATTTATAATGTTTAATTTATTTTTATTATTTTTATTTTTTTTTGAAAAAGGGCTTTACAGGCCCGACCCTGAGCCCTTCACATAAGGGTCGAGTTTAAAAAATGGGGTTCAAAATAGAAAATCGGGCTTTAGGGCTTAGGCCCTTATGGGCTCGGCCCTTAAAGGCTGAGCTCACCTGTATTCCCAGCTCTATTAAAAAAGAGTTAATGATGGGAGTAATTTGATATTAATTTAAAAGTTGAGGGTCTATTTTATACATTTTAAAAGTTTAGAATCCAAGGCGCTTTTCGCGTAATATTTCAGGGTCCAAAATGCTTATTAAACCTTTAATATAACTTACAAAGATCTCCCCTTTATTTTTAAAAAAGGGGAAAATCACATTCAAGGCCTTGCGAAAGATGTTATTTATAGATAATGATTAATACAGAATGAATTATTATTAAAATAGAAATATGTACTTGTTTTTTCTCTAATGATAACTTGTTATTAGTTATTGTTCGTGAATAATATTCTTTATAGGTCTTTAAATGTGATTCTCTTTTTTAAAACTTATAGACCTATGTTGTACCATCCTTTTTGATTTTAAGATTATAGTCTTATCCATCTAATCATTAGTTGATTTTGATATTTTTTTTGACTAAAATACCCCTGTTTAGCATAAATTCTACTTAACAATCATTTAATATTTAAACATTTATCTTTGTCCAAAAATAATAATTTTAATACATACATTTCACATTTTTATATTATTAAATTGATTAATTTTTATTATATTATAAAGTTGATTAATTTTATAATTCTAAATTTTTATTGTTCCGATAATTTTAAATATTTAGACTTATTTATTTAATAATATTTTAAATATGTGCGTTAGCTAAAAAGGTCTTTAAAGCATAATATATATATATATATAGAAAATTATAAAATGTCATAATCTTGAGTATATATTATTGATATCTCAATTTTATAATTTCAAATTTTTAAATATATTTCATTATACATATATTTGTTAAACAAATTAATCAATTTTTTATCAAGTTGTTTTTTAAGTAAATTAATTAATTTTTATTTTATCAAAATAGTAAATAAATTACTAGTTAATATTAAACAAACTGTAAATAGATAAATTAGAGATTTAGTGCAAAATTTAGTATGATGAAGGGCAAATTAGTAAATAAGATTTATTTTAATATAATTTTCAATTAAAATATATTCTTAATTTTTTTTATAATATTAGTTAATGGCGTCAATGATTTGACTAAAGTATATATTTTCAACATAAAGAGAGATATGTATAATTAAGATAAAATAAAAAAATAATTAGAGTATTTTATTTTAAAATTCTTTATCATTCCATTTTCTATTAAATTTGTGTAGTGCGCAAAGAGTAAGAATCTAGTTTAATCGTTTGAACGAATGAGAAGGTGATTAGAGCCGTCAATTAGGGCCGAGCCTGTAGGGCCGGTCCTTTTAGGCCCGAAAAAATTGAGGGTCGGGCTTCTATTTTATCTTTAAAAAGGTAAATCGGGCCTAAAAAGGCTGGCCCTTTTAGGCCCGTTTATAATTTTTTTTAAAATTATAATATAAAAAAAGATTAAATACATAACTCAAAGAAATGAACATATTAAATGCATTCATCCATCCATTATTTATTTATTAAGATTTAGCTGATAATATTAACTAAGTTTAATTTTTATTGGTATTCACTTTGATGTTACTATTTGATATTAGACCTAAATATTTTAGTTTTCTTTATTGTTGTGATGTAAATTGATTTAAATTTATTTTCTTAAACTTAATTTTATGAATAATAACTTTTTTTATGATTATAAATATATTTTTTATAATTTTTAATTGAAAAAATAATTTTAAAAAAATAGGGCCGAGGCCCTGAGGGCCGGCCCTTTAGCCCTGAGGGCTAGGGCCGAGCCTTAAAAAATAGAACCCTAACATGCAATCGGACTTATTAGGGTCAGCCCGTTTAGGCTCTGACCCTTTAGAATCGGGCTGGTCTTAATTGACAGCTCTAAAGGTGATGGATGACTAGGCGGAGCTCCCAATGACAAGCCTGCCTTTAGTAGCGAAAACCAACTATATTACTGCTAACTTGAATGCTAATTGCTGCCTGCCAATGGCGAACTGCTAATTGCTCATCCTTTGCCTTTTCCATTACTATTAGCCGACCTCTTCACGTTATGCTCATCAACCCACCTGGCACCTACCCTTCTTTCTCTCTCTCTCTCCCATTTCTCTCTCTCACTCTCTGTTTGTCTGTCTGTTTAGCAGATGGATATTCCAAGTGCCTGGGACTATTGGGTCGGTGAGGCACTTGCAAGGCTTGAGTCTCTCAAACTCCTTCGATCTTTGAGACCCATTTGCCTCCGCAAGCAAAATACACACTTACATGTTGAGAATGGCAAACAATATGTACCAATCCCAGAAATTGTTGGGGAGGGAGATGAAGAATTCGAGGTGTTCGACCAAATGCGCCCCTGGGATCGCTCTTCTGTGGAAGTGGAAATTGGAGAACCAACATTTAACAGATGGATGAATGACACGCCTAGTCCTGGTACCTTTTAACGCTTTAAATTTCAAGTCCGATGAGCACATATAGTCAACTTTTTATTCGTTATGCTATAGCAGGTCAAATGCTAACTTTTGAATCACTCTTGTTTTTTTGTTGAGTAAAGTAAATATATAATTTTAGTGCCTAAAAATATACCTCTCCTTAAGCCGTTAGTGGGTGACAAATTTTAGGTGAATAGCTCACATTTGAGAATAAATGCGAAGATTAATGCATTACATGCTATGCCTTTAAAGGAGCAAATTGTACATTTACTCTATGCCATATCTACTTATTATGACATTCAACTTAATTCTTTTCTGAGAATACCTGCAAATTTTGGTGTTCCCCTCAATTTATTTTGACCAACATGTTTCATTTCATGTTCTGATGTCTACTTGACATTCAACAATGACTCTTTTTGGTATAGGCGATGAGATTATCCGTAGTCCACTTATTAATAAAGACCCCAAGAGTCATCAACAATTGAAAAAGTTGATTTTGTTTTCCGGAAATGACTATCTAGGCTTAAGTTCCCATCCGACTATTGGAAGGGTTGCTGCAAAGGTGTGCTTGATGATCTTCCCTTTAGTAAACTTTGAACTACCTTCCCGCCTCTTTTCTTCATTTTAATCTTTCAAACCTTTTTTTTTTTTTTGTTTTTTGGTGAAATTCCAAACTGTTTCTTCAGTTCATTTAGTTTAAGCTTACATGCGTTAACTACCTATGACTATTTTTCTATATCAGGCAGCCCTAGAACATGGAATGGGACCAAGAGGGTCGGCTCTTATTTGTGGCTATACAAATTACCACAGTCAGCTGGAGTCATGCTTGGCTGATTTGAAGAAGAAAGAGGTGTATAAACAGTCATGTGGGAACTCCTTGAATGTTTATGGTTTTAATATCTTGAATTGCTTTGCAGTTTGATCTCATAGAACATAGTTAGTTAGCCATAGTGATTTAACTTAGGACTGAAGAGTATGAGACAAAAATCATATACTGTTCTATTAAAGGCTAAGTTGATGCTTACTCAACATATGTGGTGCACTTCTGAGATTATCCATTATGTTCTTGTTTGGACGCTACTTGATGTTGCCAATGATTAACGAATATCAGGAAAAATGGCATCATTGGTATTCATTTTAGTGATGAGGAAATCTCATTTGCTAAAGTCTGACTTTTGTGGTCATGTTCTCACTTATCATGACCCAAAAACTATTAATAGTTGATGCCCCTGTCAATCAATTATTTTACCTGTTAGGGATTAGCATGTGGTACAGTTATATTGAATTGAAATTATGACAGCTTATGTTTATGTTCTTTTTATATCCTTTTCTGTCACCTTTAATGACTATGCTAAGCTTATGGAGGAGCCACCTCTTAATGAGATGATGAAAGGACCAAATTTGATAATAGGCCTGGGTTGTACACATTGCTGACACATTTTTGGTTTTAAATCCATGCTATAGGACTGTCTTCTTTGTCCAACAGGATTTGCAGCCAATATGGCTTTGATGACAGCGATAGGAAGCATTGGTTCTCTCTTGACTGGGAACAGCATACCTTCAGAGGTTGAAAAGATAGCCATATTTTCTGATGCACTAAACCACGCATCAATAATTGATGGTATTCGTCTTGCTGAGCGGCAACAAAGTGTGAAGGTGTTCATTTACAGACATTGTGATATGTCCCACCTTAACATGCTCTTGTAAGTTTCTCCTTCTCTACGATTCATATGTTCTTGTGAGAAACTTTCATTTTTGCCATTCACAGTATGCATATCATGTTTACATTGTTGCAACATCTATGTGCTTGACAGATCACAATGCAGAATGCACAGAAAAGTTGTTGTGACTGATAGGTAACTCGTTATTTCTACTGTTACATGCTGCTGTTGGATCTTCATTCTATTCTCCTGTTTTAGAAATATATTTCCATATCTGTCTTCCTTGCCTGCAGCCCTACATATGCATATCAGGTATACACTTCATATTTTAAAAGATGAGATCTCTTTTATAGATAACTGCACCTATTAGACAAGAGGAATGGTTTCCCTTGAAAGATCTTTGATTATGTGGATGACTAGTAATGTATCCAAGTTTTAAAAGTTGTTAGTTTTAGGATGAATATTTTGAAACCTGTAACATTGGTTGATTGAGAGCGGGGGTGTTTGTAGTTGATGATTCAGTGATCAAACTGCTGCTAAACTATTTTCATTTGAATAAATGTGTATATTTAAATTTACAGGCAACGCATATTTTAAATTGAAGCATAAAGAGAATATTAATAATATAAGTATAAACACACACACACACACACACATATCAATTGTATTGAATTTTTTAAGACTTTTGTATATGATGATTTTTGCAGCATCATCAAATTAAAAATATTCAGATAATTAGTTAATGCTAACTCATTAATGGTTTCAAATTCTTTTAAAACAAGTATGATATATGTGAAATAGTATTTTTAAGATTATTTATTTATTGGTTATTACAAACTCATGATAACTTTTAGTTTGCAGTATTGTAGTCCAAAGCCTACTAGTTCAGTAGGGGAACGCTTTTCCTTCCCCAGTGCCTTGCCTTTTACAATGAATAAATCATCATTATGTTAAGTTAATCATTTCTATGACATATTGTGAACTACTATAATTACTTTTGGGTTTGTGATTAAATTATTTATTGTGCAGTAACATTTTTTAACACTCCATTTATCGTTCTAAAACTTGCTTTCAAACACTGCTGAGTACAACATTTAACAGTCCAATTTTTATGCTGATATAAAAAATTTTCTTTTTGCCCGGATAAATTTAACTTGGTCCAGCAAGTGCCAACCTCTTTAAAGCTTCTCCATTGCGCAAGATCCCACAAGCTGGAGTTTGATTCTACTGTGTTTGTGTTTTTAGTTCATATGTATGAAGTCTATGCAAAGTTGATATATATTTGCTATTAAGTATGTGCGAAAAAGGAGTCAAAGAAACTGGCTTAGGAGCCAAGGGAAAAAAGAAAACACTCTCACTTTGATAAAATATTGTATTATTCTTTCGTGATTCTGAATATAATGGACTATTTATACTAGTCTCAAGTAGGCAAGAAATTAATGCTAATAGAGAGGTTATGGAATAACTTAATTCTAAATGGAGGGGGTTATGAAATTTAAAAGTACTTAAAAGCACTTATTGGGAGCTTATGAAAGTTACAAACACTTATCATAATTTATTGATAGGAAAGTTATGAAGATAGTAGGGATTATGGAGATGGAACATCCAATTCCGTCTCAGAGGCTCGTGTTTTATTGATACTAAACAACAAAATTTATACAACAGAGGTTGAGGTCTTCTGGGCCAAGAAAGTAGGGATATGATATAGGAAATAAAGTCATGTAAATCCTATCTAATAAAAACAGAATTAAAAAAACAGATATTTGCAAATTAAATATTTGATTTCTGCTCTTGCCCTCATATTTTCAACAAAATGAAGATTGATAAATCTAATTGCTTTTACATTTGGTTTTATTTTAACATTTGATATCAATTTCTTTCAAAGATTTTCACTTTTAAAATTTTGCATCATGATAATTCTACTTATCATCTGATTAACATTTGGAATGCATGTGTCATGAGCATATCTTGGTTTATTTCTTATATGATACTACATTTGATTGTACTAACAATTTGTAACTGGGTTACCTTATTTTCCTAAGTGATTTACTTGGAATTCATAACTAATTCTGTGCAATTTCAGTAGTCTAGTGAGAAGATGGAAAGTTCAAAGGGAAAATTTCAATGAGGACCCCTTGACCAGATTTAGTTTCTCAAAGCCTATAAAGTTCTAAAATTTCATTGCATATGTAGGGGATTGAAATAAAATTAAAGAGCTGACTGAAATGCCTTTATTGTCCTTGGTGAAGCTAAACACATGAACAAATCGTGTAAGGAAATTAACAATTGATGTGTGGAAAATGAACCATTAACATGAATGAAATTTGCAACTCTCATTAATAGCATAACACCACTGTAAATTTGCAACTCTCATTCTACTTACATCAATTGTTGATTTTTCATATATCAATTATTTATTTTTCCTACATGAGTTGTTCATACATTTAGCTTTACTTGTTTATATTCATAGTAGTGTTATGTTGTTAATAAGAGTTGCAAATTCCGCCTAAGTTAGTTGTTCATTTTCCTTGCATTAGTTGTTAATTTCCCTAGATGAGTAGTTCATGCACCTAATATCACTAGGGAAAAAAAGGTCATTTCAGTCAGCTCCTTAATTTTATTTCAATCCCCTATATGTGCAGTGAAATTTCAGAATTTTAGGCGTTTTGATTGAAATTAAGTTAGGTCAAGAGGTTTTCACCGAATTTTTCCCAAGTTCAAATTAATTCCACAAGCTGTGAATACTAAAATCACGTAGAATTAGTTGTGAATTCTATTAAACCATTTGTGAAAACCTGGTAACCCACTTAGGAATGGTATCTCTCAGTGGTCCGTCACCCCTATTCTCAAGTAGGTTACTTGTTTTTCACAAGTAGTTCACCTAGAATTCACAATAGATGTTATAGGAGAATAGAAGAAAAGACATGTATCATCCACATATAATAAGATCTAATGAAGTGGTGATTCAAGAACACTACTGTTTGCTCATCAATGCATGATCGTGTTGCCAACACATCAGGCTTTGGCTTCAGCTATTCACGTCTTGCTGATCTTTATATGCTCCTTGCTGAAGATCAGCATGGTTTGTGTGTTGGAAATATTTTCAATATCTAGAAGTCAGAACTGCTACTTGGTGTTGATAGAGATTTACAAATCAATTATTGATTATAATTTCATATTTCTGATGTCATTTATACATGATTTTATGAACATGATTTTCTGTATGCCATTATGCATTTTTCACCTTATTGCAGCTTGTTTAGCATGGACGGAGACTATGCACCAATGGTTGAGCTTGCAAAGCTCCGTAAGAAGCATGGGTTTTTGTTAGTCATTGATGATGTAAGCCGTCTTGAAGTTGTGTCATTGACTGCTTGAATCCTATCTTGTGCATTTACGCTCATGATTCTGATCAGTGGAAAAGTTTTAGTACAATGGTATACAGCAATCATAGGACAGTTATGATATAGTATTGTGCTGGAAAGCAAGAGCATTTTTAAGGTTAATCGTATTTAGTTCACTGTTCTCTTGTTTCTTCACTAATTTTTTTTTTAAATTATTTCACATACTATATCATGTCAATAGTGCTGATATGGTGACCCTATATAACAAATGATGACTTCTCTATGCCTGCATAGCTTAATGCAATTATAAGATATCAAAAATAGAAACCTGATTTTTTTCCAGGCTCATGGATCTTTCGTTTGTGGCAAAAATGGTGGTGGTGTTGCTGAGGAGTTAAATTGTGAAAAAGAGGTTGACTTGTGCATTGGAACGTTGAGTAAAGCTGCTGGCTGCCATGGAGGATTCATAGCATGCAGGTAGTCTTTTGAGAAACTTCCTGCAAGTTTCATGCTTTTTTTTTTTTTTTGACCTCCCTTTTGGGTGAAGGAGGGGAGGGGGTGGGAGAACTCATTTTTTACCACAAACGGTATAAATTTCATCAATGTTTCTTATGAAATTTTGTAAATTAATGCAATTGTGGTATTTTGTGCATCCTGGTAGCAAAAGGTGGAAGTTACTCATACAATCAAGGGGTCGTTCCTTTATATTTTCCACTACCACACCAGTCCCAGTTGTAGCTGCTGCTCATGGTGAGCTATGTGTCCTTATAGTGGAATTGATTTACTTAGAAAATATAGCTTTTAACCTTTTTTAAAGGAAAAAAAAAGAATTATATGCGTAAGTTTTACATATTTTGTTTTTGCAGTGTCATTTCATAAGTAGCGACTGTACCTCTCTTGCCTCAGTTTTGTAAATGTGTAGGGCTTTTGATAGATTTTTATAATGTCAATCCCACTTCTAAGATCATCAAAGGGATATCATGTTCCTTTGACCTCTTAGCATTCCTCACTATATAGAGTTTACTATTCATTTTAGTCTTATTTATAAGTTATTTTCAGCATCTTTTATCGAAAAAAGAAAACCTTAAACTTTATTAACTGTCTTAATATTTAATAAGTTTTCCCTTCTAAACCCCTAACAAAGATAAAAAGAATTATTTTTAATAATTTTTCTCAGCATTTAATAAAGGTAGCAAAGTAAAGATGAATGTAGAAAACAGTAAAATGTCTTGTAAATGCGACTAAAATTAATTTTCTCTCTCTTCCCTATAAATAAAACCAGAGAAGTATATTTGGATTTAATACAAAGTTTGTTGAGGGAAACCCGTGCATCTATTTGTTATTTGTGTCTGGATAGTAATAAATGTGTTAATTGTGTGCAAAAAGATAACCATAGTCACATTGTGTATTGTAACTTTCTTGTTATTATGTTACTGCTCCTTGTATAAATGACATATCTGTTTAAACATAAATGCAATTTGCCAGCTGCTGTTAAGGTGGCAAAAATGGAGACATGGCGTAGAAGGGCCATCTGGAACCGAGTGGAAGACTTCCGTGCTCTAACTGGAATCCCTGTTACAAGTCCCATTATATCTTTAATTGTAGGAAGTGAAGAAAAAGCACTGCAAGCAAGCCGGTACCATCTCTCTCTCTCTCTCTCTCTCACACACACACACACACAGAGAGATTCATTTTGCTAATTTACTAAGTTTTATAACCATTCTGGAACAGGCATTTGTTGAAATCTGGCTTTCATGTGACTGCTATTAGACCACCAACTGTGCCTCCTAACTCATGCAGGTTTTATTTCCTACCAGCGCTCAATGTCCACACTCATTTTTCTTTTATAGTAAAACTGGAAGAAACAACAACAACAACAAAAACAACAATAACAAGCCTTTATCCCACTAGGTGGGGTCGGCTACATGGATTGCAAGACGCCATTGTGCTCTATCATTTATTAAACTTTTAGGAATATTATTAATTAAGAGATCGCGTTCAACAACTTCCAAGAGTGTTCTCTTAGGCCTTCCTCTACCTCTCTTAATCGGACTCAAAGTTATATGTTCCACTCTTCTCACTGGTGCCTCCCTTGGTCTTTTTTGTACATGCCCAAACCATCTCAACCGATTTTCTACCATTTTTTCCTCAATAGGTGCCACCCTCACTTTTTCACGTACGTGCTCATTTCGAATTTTATCTTTACGTGTATGTCCGCACATCCATCGTAACATTCTCATCTCTGCTACTCCAACTTTATGCTTTTGCTGTCCCGTTAGAGCCCAGCATTCACTACTATATAACATTGCCGGTCTGATAGCAGTGCTATAAAACTTTCCTTTAAGTTTATTAGGCACCTTACGGTCATAAATAACTCCTTTAGCTTTTCTCCAATTAAACCACCCAGCTTGAATTCTATGTGAAATATCTCCACTGATTTCGCCATCATTTTGAATAATGGCTCCCAAATATCTAAACTTTTCCACTTGAGGTATAATTTGATCTCCCAATTTCACTTCCAAATTATTGTCGAATATTCCTTTACCAAATTTACAATATAAATATTCCGTCTTACTTCTACTCAGACGAAAACCTTTCGATTCCAATGTCCTCCTCCATAACTCAAGTTTACAATTAACCTCTTCTCTTGTCTCTGCTATAAGAACTATATCATCCGCGAAGAGCATACATTTCGGGATTTCCTCTTGAATATGTTCTGTCAAAACATTTAAAATCAAGTTGAACAAATAAGGACTCAGAGATGATCCCTGATGTAGTCCAATCTTTATAGGAAAATCCTTTGTTTGACCACTGGGTGTTCTTATACTAGTTTTTACCCCCTCATACATATCTTGTATGGTTTTAATATAAGCAATCCGTACTCCCTTTTTTTCCAACGCTTTCCAAAGCACTTCTTTTGGTATACGGTCATAAGCTTTTTCCAAATCAATAAAAACCATGTGTAGATCTTTATCTTTACAACGATACTTTTCCATTAATCCCCTTAGTAGATAAATCGCCTCTGTAGTTGATCTACCTGGCATAAAACCAAACTGATTCTCAGAAATACTTGTCTCCAATCTTAACCTGTGCTCAATTACTTTCTCCCACAATTTCATTGTGTGGCTCATGAGTTTAATCCCTCTATAGTTAGTACAATTCTGAATATTTCCTTTATTTTTATAAATAGGAATTAATGTACTTCTCCTCCACTCATCAGGCATTTTCTTGGACCGTAAAATCACATTAAATAACTTAGTTAACCATCTCACCCCTTCTTCACCTAAACATTTCTACGCTTCGATAGGTATACAATCAGGTCCGTTGGCTCTACCATAAAACTGGAAGAAACGAGAAAGAAAAATCCTTTGCGATCTTTCTTACCTCTCTACAGTTCTAGGGCTGAGCAAACTGCCTGACTATCAGGTATGCTTGACCCCGCCCGAGCTATACGGGCTCATCAAGCTAGGCTTCGGGCCAGGCACTGGGTTGGGTTCTAGTCCCACCCTGCCCGGCCCAAACTTATATGTAGTTATTTTTTAAAAAAATTAGTAAAACGTAATTGTTTTATAATGTTCTATTTCTTAGTATATTTCAGGTAACAGCTTTGTTTTTATGATTATCATTGATATTTTTATGATTTTATTTTTCAATCATTTTCAAAATTTTAAAGTAATTTTTAAGTTAGTAATATATAAAAATAATGAATAATTTTTAATCATATATAGTTGTAAAAATTATTTTTTTCATCTTATTGTTAATTCCCACATAAAATATATCTTAAATGAAGATAATTATATTTTTTGGTATAAAGAAAAGTTTTTTTCATTATTTTTTAATCATGTAAAAATACTTTTAGGGTTGGGCCAAACCCAGTCTGAACATTTGAGCACCGGGTGGCCCAAAATGCATATAAGGCTGGGCACCGTCCTAGGGTGATAGATAAAAAAGAAAAGGGCAATGAAAATTGATTCAAAAATAATGGCACCCATCTCCTTACATATAAAATGTAATAAAACGAGATAATTAATGGTGAATAATGATAACAGGGTATAATAGTGCATTTTTTTGAGCCTGATATATATTATTATAGTTTACCATGTCTTCATTCCACAAAATGTGTCCTGATTCCTGAATGATCTTTTATTAGCATGGTGATTTCCCTATGCATGTCTGAAATCGGTTGTTTTTCATACTTATTTCTTAGGCTTCGAGTAGCTTTGAGTGCAGCTCATACAAGGGAAGATTTGGAAAAGCTCACAGCTAAACTTTCTCAGTGCATCAATTTCCAAGATATCAGTGTACATTGCTCCAGTGGATATGCAAGACTCTGACACATGATTCTATCAAGATGGTATGAGCACTATAGCGTAGTTGACAATCCAAATCACCGACATTCATAAAATTGAATACGATTGTGTATTCGGAGAGAAATTCAGAGAAACGAAAAAATAGGCACAAAAGCAGGATGTGGACCTCATAAATAGTACATTTCTTGTGATTACTATATTTTGAAAATGAATGCAGTAGATTTAAAAATCATAGCCTGTTAGTATATCAGTTTTGAGCAACTCATTAATTGTTGTTCTATCTGCAGTTCAAAGTGTTTTTTAGTTGTATTCATGGTATGAAAATTTGGGTCAATCTGCTTAGTTGAACCATTAAACTATTGAGTCAATGTATTGAGTCTTGACTGGTACAATACAGTTGAATTATGATTTTGGCCATTAACTGTTGAATTAGTGCTTTAACCTGTTCGGTTTTAAGTATCTTGGTTGTATTACTCTTGGCTGGTGTTTCTTTCATCATGGTTTATCATGTTGACAAATTCATATGTTAACATATTGAAGTAGACATGATGCTGTTGATTTTGGTCTTTGATTTGTTAATTTGATTGAATTTAAGAGATTTGAGCAGAGCCCTTGGGGATTTATGACTTTAGCATGGTCCCATTCCTACTCCAATTTTCCAAGCTACCAAATGGTACAAACCTCATGATGGTTAAATTGTAGCAGTTTCAATTAAAATAATATATTATTTAAATAATATATATGAAAAGAAATAACTTAAGCAATTTTTGTCATACATGTCTAATGGAAATCACACCAACGTTACAATAAATAACATCAAATACATCACGCTAATAAAATTCATAATAGTTCAAAAATCACCAAAGTTATCATTAACTTGATTTAAACTAAGACCATCAAATCCAAAATTAGTGCTTGCGAAATCAAAAACATTTCTAGCAACCCCATCTTACATAAATTTTGATTTGATTTTCTTGGTTGGTTTTGACCAGTTCTATTCTGATTCATTTTTTCTTTGATTTTAGTGTTTGTCAAGATTTAACTGTAGATCAATTCAATTCAATTGAACTAACTAGCGTAATCTGGTTCTAACAACCATGATTTTAGCATACAAAAGTTAAAAATTAAAAGAAATATGAAAATTAAGGGTTTGTCTAGTTTCTGTTTTCATTTTTTTATTTTTAAAAATTATTTTGTAATACAGTTTTTTGAATTATTTTTTAAACAAAATAAAATGAAAATACGTTTAGTTAAAAACGATTTTACAAGTGAAAAAAAAAAAGCTAATAGTGATGGTTGTGGATGATTAATTGTGATAGTTTATCATGAAAATCAGTCAATCTATTTATATTTTTTAATAATCAAATGTAGTATATTTTAAAAAAAATAAAATGAAAACAATTTTTCTCAAATTAATGAAAAGGGCCATGTTGCCTGTCAAGTATCTAAAATAGTGCAACGTTACCTAATTTTAACAGGCTTAAATGATTGACCATTAGTTGACTTAACTTTTCCTACGTGACATGCTTGTGTGGAATCTACGCCACATTTTTTATTAAAACTATGCTTAAGTGGCATATTTTAATTTTATAAAGTTAGTTGTTTGGCATTCACCTCATTTTTTTTTGGCTTAAAAAAAACCGTCGTCTGAAACCAAAGCCCAGAATCACGCCTTCTCGTTAATGGGTCTCTTCTTCATCTTGTCCCTCTACGCCAGCTACTCCATTGAGGACCCAAAATATGCCGCCATCAAAGGCATCGTCTTCCATCAACTCTTCTACTCCAGTAGCTTCTTTGACCACCCGCGCAAGTGGCCAAAGCTCGACCCATGTTTCAGCTTTTTGAGTCTAAGATTGAGCGAACGTGTCGCACCCCGGTACTTAATCTTTTCTCCTATTTTGGCAACGTTAAATTCCGACTAATACCTCAAGCCAATACTTATATTCTGTTTGGTTGAAAAGAAAATATAAAAAGAAAGAAAACATAGAGAGAAAACAGATTTTTTCTGTTTGGATAGAGAAAAAAAAAATGAAAGAAAAAAAAAAGTGAGAGAAAAATAGAGTGTAAAACTCACTATTTTTTTTTTCAACTTTTTGTTTAAAGTAAAAAGATTTTGAGAATAAATTTTTTTTTAACTATTTATCCTCTCTTTTTCTTATTTATTTTGTGCTTTGACTTTCCAAAGTTAAGAGACTACTTAAATATATTAATTTAATTTTAATCAAACGGTTTGATTTATAAATTTTAACTTTTATAATTATGAGTTATATTAATTTAATTATTTAATTAAATAATTTAGTCATTAACTTTATCAAGTATCCAGAATTATATTAATCTAATTTTAATTATTTTATTTTAAAATGTAATATAAAATATATTTTTAACAAATAATTTAATTTTAAATTAATTTAATTATATTAATTTTAATATAATTTTTTTTTTAATTTATTTTTCACAAATATAATTACATGAAACATGATATATTTTAATATAAATATTATAATCATTATAATATCTATTTATTTTTATTTTTTTTATTTTTTTATTCATCTAAATAAAAAAAGTGATAATATTTTTTTTTTTTTTTTTTTTTTTTTTCTCAACTTTCCTTCTCATTTAAATGAAGGGTTGTATATTTTTTTAAATTATTATATGATAATTTAATAATATTCTATTAAACATTCCCTCAAACATTATTAGAACATTTATCAATAACTTACTCGGGCAAGTATCCAAGCAATATCTACAACTTCCAACGTTTAATTCCATACCCAACTTCAGCTTTGCATCATAATAATATAACATCCATCATCAACCACAAATTAACATCTAAATTTCCAGAAATTTTGACAGCAAGAGAAAGGAACAACAGCTGTCGGCCGAGAGAGGGGAAAAAAAAAAGCTGAGCTTACCAGTTACCACCACACTCGACGGCCAGCAGATGAGGAGGAAGGGAAGATGAAGTTCATGCACCCGCTGACCTGGAGCAAGGAAGAAGCAGAGAACAGTAACAAGGAAAGGAAATCCTGTGACCCAATCACACTATCACAGCTGAATCTTGACAGAGAAAATAGTAACGGATGAACCCAATAGCAGCGAAGAGGTACAGACTGCTGGCGAGCAGAGGAAATTGACGAGAAGAACTAGAGGAGTGGGCAACGATGAAGAACCAGAGGAGAACAATGGCGGTGAAGAGAAAGAAAGAACAGGATGCTCTGCCTCCCAATGTTCTCAGTTTTCGAATGGCAGGGGAGAGAAGAAAAATAAATCTCTGCATTAAGAAATTAAAAAAAAATATAAAAAAAAGGCTAAAAAAAAAAATTATAGTACAAAGTTTGTCTATAGTTTAAAGTTTTATTTTGGTACAATTCGAGCTGAAGACCTTTAAGAAAATTATTAATATAAGTTCTTTAAAACTATCACTCCCCACTTATTGTAAAATTAACTAGCATGTACTCCCCCGTGTATTGCACGGGCAGAATTATGTATAAGAAATTCAATGTCAATGAAACTTTATGATAAAGAATTCAAATTCATTACAAAAACTAATGTATGATACATGCAAGAAAGGAAAATTACATTGGTGGGCAGTCAACAAATTAAGTTCCTAAAAACTTCTCTATAAACAACATTTTGTGTGGTATATTTCCCATCCTGCTTGTGATCTTCTACTAGTATCTTTAATCCATCCATGCTTCTAACCCTCGATAATGCAACATATAATTGATCATGTGTAAAGACTGGCTTAGACAGATACAACCCAACGTGACGCAAAGATTGGCCTTGACTTTTGTTGATAGCCTTTGCAAATGAAAGAGTTATTGGGAATTGTCTCCTTTTCATTCAAAATGGCCACCTACTGTCTGATGGATTCATATCCATTCGATGTATGAGGACCCTCTCATTCTTCCTTGAACCATTTAAAGTAATCCCTTCAATAACATTCTTCCCAAGATGTGAAATACACAATCGAGTGCCATTGCATAGACATGATGATTGATCAATATTTCTCAACAACATTACAGGTGTTCCAACCTTCAGGATTAGTTTATGTGGTGGTAAACCTGAACAATTTATTGTATTAAGGAATTCAGTTATATACAAATCATCAAAAGAATCATTGTCTTGGGTAGACTTACAGACAGAGTCATAACTCAAATATTCAATGGATTGGCCAGGAAGCAATGGACACATGTAATCATTTAATTTGTTAACACTTTCAATAGTAGGAACAAGAATAGCTCTATCATTAAAATACTCTGTATCGGATAAATGATCTAAAAAATTAGGATAAGTGGATACCACAATTGCTTTCAATGGATTTGTGTATTTTGATATCACTAAATGTTCTGGGATTTCAATTTCAGCAACTCCATCAATTGAATGTCCTAATTTACCATTGCCTAAGTCTAATAACCATTTTGAAAACTTTTCTAATTGATCAGAATCATAGATTGAAGATGATGTAGATATCACATCGTTTTTTTAGATTAAATATCTTACAATGATCCCATAAATATGATGATGATATGCATGCATTAACAATATTTGCTCTAGTACCTTTTGGGACAACAGGAAGAATTTGCCTGAAATCACCGCCCATGAGAACACACTTTCCACCAAATGGAATATCTAAATGCATTATATCCCTCAGTGATCTATCAAATGCTTCAATGCAATAACGCTGCACCATTGGAGCCTCATCCTATATTATTAATTTTGTGCATTGAATCAAACATGCTAAGTGAGAATTTTGTTTGATAGCACAAACAGATTCTTCAGTTATTTAGATTGGAATTGCAAACCTTGAATGGGCAGTTCTACCTGAAGGTAATAATGTTGCTGGTATTCCACTTGATGCAACAGTAAGTACAATATCACCTTCTGCGCGAAGAGTTGTGGTGAAAGCATTCCATAAGAATGTTTTGCCAGTGCCTCCGTATCCATGAACGAAGAAAAAACCACCAGCATTTGAAGTTAATGAAGATAGGACTGTGTCAAAAATAATTCTTTGCTCTGGATTTAAGCAATTAATGATTCTTTCTGATTCAAATTTCAAGGCAATACGGTCATAATTCAACTCTTGTAGAATCAAATGATTTGTCACGTCAATGATTGAATCTTGTGTTACCATTGGAAGTCCATGAAACTCTCTAATAGACTTCCCATTTTGTTGAAGTAGTAAATCAATCTCTCTCAATGCTGCTTGTTCTTTTTGAAATGGTGAAATTTCTAACCCTGCATGATAAACAACATCTTATCGCTTCATAACAAAATTTAGAATTTGAAAGCAAAATTAACAAAAAATAAAAAAATTACCTTGGAGATTTGAATCATTTTGAGGGATGTATAACAAATCTTCAGACAATATCTTTGACACATGATTCCAAATGAAGTCAGGACGACTTAAGCAAGAACAAA